CTGTGTTAATGTTAGTTAATAAAAAGACAATCGTTCAGTGTTTGTTCATGTTTTTGTTGCTGTTACGTGACGCAGCGGTGTCTGACTCGGGGCGAAACGTGGGCTGATGATGTCATCGTTTCAGAAAATATACGGATTTGCTGTCCACACGAAAACACAAGGTCAGCGTTTTCAGATTTATCCACTATGGGACCCGTTTTCAAAAAATATCGGTTTCACTCTCCCAAAACGGCGGATCCGTGTGGACGAAACGCCTATATGATACAAAATGTATGCGTATACAGCTAAACGCGTCTCCAAGTGGACGGGGCCTTAAAGTCTGTGCTGACCAACTGGCCCTCATCTTCACAAAGATCTTCAACAGATCACTGGCACTGAGTGAAGTTCCCTGCTGCTTCCAACGCTCCACCATCATTCCGGTCCCCAAAAAGCCCAAAATCACTGGACTTAATGACTACAGACCTGTCGCTCTCACGTCTGTGGTCATGAAGTCACTTGAGAGACTGGTCCTGGCCTACATGAATGACATCACTGGACCCTTGCTGGATCCTCTCCAGTTTGCCTACAGAGCAAACAGGTCTGTGGATAACGCAGTCAACATGGGACTGCATTATATCCAGCAACACCTTGACAAAACTGGGAATTACGCAAGGATCTTATTTGTGGACTTCAGTTCGGCCTCCAATACCATCATGCCTGACCTTCTCTCAGACAAACTGACCCAGCTCTTCATGCCCACCTCCATCTGTCAGTGGATCACCAGCTTCCTGACAGACAGGTGAGGCTGGGCAAACTTACATCCAGGACTCTCACAATAAGCACTGGCGCCCCTCAGGGATCTGTTCTCTCCCCACTGCTCTTCTCCCTCTACACGAATGGCTGCACTTCAAAGGACCCCTCTGTCAAGCTCCTACAGTCATCGGCCTCATCAAGGACGGAGACGAGTCTGCTTACAGACAGGAGGTTAAAGAGCTGGCTGTCTGGTGCAGTCTTAACAACCTGGAGCTAAACACTCTCAAAACTGTGGAGATGATCGTGGACTTCAGGGGGAACCCCCTGCACTCTCCCCACTCACCATAATCAGCTACCAAAACAGACATCAGAAGACGACAACGGACAGTCAGGACTGCTGAGAGGATTATTGGTGCCCCTCTACCCAGCCTCCAAGAACTTTACATGTCCAGAGTGAGGAAAAGGGCTAAGCAAATCACTCTGGACCCCTCACACCCAGCCCCCTCTCTCTTTGAACTGTTGCCCTCTGGCCGGTGCTACAGAGCGCTGTGCACCAAAACAGCCAGACACAAGAAGAGTTTTTTTCCCCCAGGCCATATCGCACCTGAACAACACATAACACACCTCAGTATTGCACATCTGTAAATAACTCATTAAACCTTTAAATAGCACATATGCACATTCACAGTTCTGTCTATGGACATTTTTCCTTTTTCTGTATATTTTTATTACTATTGTTATTTATAATTTATGGTCTATTCTCTCATTTTATGTATGTCTGTACTTTGTTTGTATTTTCTGTACCGGAAGCTCCTAACACCAAGACAAATCCCTTGTGTGTGAGCACACTTGACAATATAGCTCTTTCTGATTCTGATTATTTTGTTCTAAACTAAAGTGGTAATGAAATATTGCTTTTGTAAATACTTCCCGCATTTCAGTAATAAAAGTGTTCATCTTTAAAATGCATGCAAATTGCAGTGAGCACAACAGTTACCATACAGTGCTTGTCAGAAGGCAAAAAAATGTGAATTTTGAATTGATCCCTTCTTGTAAATGTGGATTTAAATGGCAATTAAATGATCACAAGTAGGTATAATTCGACTGGGGATTTTAGGCTGGAGGTGGGAGAAAATTCTGACATTCTGGATTTGGACAGCAATAAAATCACAGAATAACACTGAAAACAGTTTAGGTCCCCACGAGAAACAACTACCATCCGAATAGGGTTCATGTCTAGAAGTATTTCCAAAAACACTTCTGAGGAAGATCTAGTCACTGGACTGACACCGTTTGAGTTTCATCACATCAAATCTGTGACAAATATTCAGTTTTGACTGTACACACATACATGAGACACTAATCATCACAAAGCCTGTGTTTTATGGTTTTCTATGTCTTATGACCTGAGCATCACATACAAACAGGCACATCACTTCAGATGTCAATCATATGGCACTTTCTGTCTGAGTGGGCAAATCCTGGCTAGAATAAACAAATGATATGCAGACTGAATGCTGTGAAAGACTATAGTTGACTAAACATTGACATTTCAGATTCTGCCCGGTCACATCTGAGCTGAAATAACAGACATTACAAGTAAGATAAGCTTTAAAAGGGAAAATATGCAGCTGTAATATCTCACACACTGTAATTATATTCTCAACCTCAGAGCGAAAACACACACAGACTAAAGCAGACGGCCGCTGATTTATCATTATATTTTGTCATTATATTTTCATCACAGATGACGATCCATTATTATTCACAGTTGTGCTGAAAGTCACCCTGGGAAAGAGAAGATGTTCAGCAGAACAACACGTGTCCTGAGCAGACGCCAAGAGACTCGCTTACAGCTATTCATCTTCACACAATTACAGCCAATTAGAGGAAACATGCTTAATATGCAGGCAGTGGATTTCAGACCAATGAGATGTGACTGTGGGCGGGGCTAACCAGTGCAACGCTGCTGAAATATTAAACAAGTAATTAACAAAAATTCAATATCCCATTACTTGTCAAGTTCACACACAAAAACTTGTCTGGTTAACACATGCTTAACTTAAGCCATTAAAAACATTTTTGTTACTTGAAACAGAATGAGTGCAAACTGAAAGAAAAAAAATATTAAAACATTTATTTTATTTCAGCAAGCTCCTAAAGTAACATTTCTCATATATATATGCAAACCCATTTCTGCCATGGGATTTTAAAAGGGATAATTGCTACTTTATCTCACAATTTAGATTTTTCAGAAATGCAAGATTTAAACTCAGAATTCTGACACAAATCTGAAAAGTTGCAGGTAACTGAGATTTATTTTTTTTATTAAAAATGTATTTATTTTACTAAATAAATAAATAAATACTATATAGATATTTTCAAAAAACTAATATAAATGACAAAAACACAACAAAATTACTAAAACTGTACCTTAAATGAAAACAGACAATATAAAAATAAACCCTAATGCAGTTGATAAGGATATGGGCTGGACACCATGCGGATGCACCAGCTGCGAGGACATGTGGTCTGTTTGAGGCAGATGAAGACGATGGGCACTAGTTCTGGGTACGGGACGACCAGAGCACTTAAATCACTGCTGACATCATCAGCCACTTCCTGCACCTGCTCCGCCGGCCCCGCCTCCTCCTGCTCAGCAGGCCCCGCCTCTTCAACAAGCCCATCCCAGCCAGGAGAGGCACACAGGTCCACGTGTGGCTCCGCCCCCACTGCAGCAAGCCCCTCCTCCTCTGATGTCATGGCTTTTGACCCGCCTACAATGAAAGAGACAGTTAATGATCACACAGGTTCCTATTGGAGAAATCAAGTTAAACTAGTTTAAAGAAGAACACCTAGTTCTCAAGCACTTTTTCTTGAGTCTATGGAATGAGCTGTTCCTGACCTACACACATAAAAGCTAAATAAACGGGTTGGTTATAAATACTCATGTTGCCTCACATAAAGAATGAGCTGCTCTGAATAGAGAACAAACATTAAATCAACACACAGTGATGTTCAAGCACTGCATCGGTCCTGCTCGTTATCATCTGATGCTGCGGTCATCATAACATTTACATTTATGTGTTTAGCCAACTTACAGTAGCGAAGCACACGCGATCGGTCACAGAATCAGAGCTCAGAGGCTCTCTTCATCTGTCTTCATCTGTTCTCATGTGTCTTTAATGCTTGTGTTCATGTGATTGTCTGACCTGTGTTTACTGAGGGTTTAAAGCAATTTCTTTCTGCTTTTTTCCTCACAAATTAGATGTAAACTCAAAATTGAGATATAACCTTGCAATTTTGAGAAAGAAAATCAGAAATGCAAGATTTAAACTCAGCATTCTGCCAGAAATGTGAAAAAAGTTGCAGGCAATTGAGACTTCACATCTCAGTTTAAATGAACAGTTCATCCGAAAATGATTTATCTGTCATTATTTGCTCGCCCATATGAGATATTTAAAAAAAATAAAAATGACTTTTTTGTTGATACAATGAAATTTAATGGGGTCCAATATTGTTGTTTACAGTTTTTCAAAATATCTCCCTTCGTGTTTGAACAGGTTTGGAAAGACATGAGGGGGAGTAAATGACAAAAGAATGATTGAGCTGACCTATCCATTTAATATCATTAATATTCCATGTTTGTCAGCACATTAAATTCTGGAGGAGGAAAACTAGATAAAACAAGCATCAGGAGACTCACGCATCACAACAGATGTTTGGAATCAGTCACGTCACATCAGATGATCATTACTACAGTCCCATTTAAAAATCATGTGTTGACCAGCTATTAACCAGTTACACATCTAATTGGAGTTAAATGTGTTTTGTCACATGAACAATGTGAATGTATTTACTCACAAAGATAATTTTACTCACATCAGCTGTTTAATGTCTGTAATGATTCTGTTATGTTCTCCATCACAATCTCTTTAACCTGTTCACCATCTCAATCCATCTCCCATCCATCCTTCTGTGTGTGTGTGTGTGTGTGTGTGTGAGAGTGAGAGAGTGTGTGTGTGTGTGTGTGTGTTTGTGTGTGAGAGAGTGTGTGTGTGTGTGTGTGTGTGTGTGTGTGTGTGAGAGAGTGTGTGTGTGTGTGTGTGTGTGTGTGTGTGTGTGTGTGTCCAAATGTCTACACAAAGACAGTAAATCAGCTAGCCTACATTGTGTGGAGTCAACGGTCTCAGATGAATAAACACATTAAATTAGGGCTGCACGATAAATCGCATGCGATATTTAATGCGCATCTTATCAGTAAAGCCGGTTCTGTAATCAGCGGTAAATCTCCATCACGTGCGTGCTTTCACATTGAGCAGCGTGCGATTTTTTGCGCAGCTCGTCAGTGAACAACGGCTCTGTGTAGTTAATGCTGCTCAATGTGAAAGCACGCACGTGATGGAGAAACTAATGCTCAAATTAGTTTTCTGCTTCTCAGATGTTTCTCCTGAGAAAAAGACTCCAGTAAAGTGTCTCCACTAGACTTTCAAAGGAGATCTCAACAATGTCTCAGACTGTGCTCAGATGTGCCACAATACCAAACCTCAGAGGTCTTAAAATTAACTCAAACATTTCTCATTTCTCAAGTTCTCCTGAGTTGCATTTCCCAAAACCAACGTGAGCCAACGCAGTCCTGATCCGCTGAGCAATAAGTGTTTATAGACACAGACACTCACCATCTGCTGACCAAACATACACACACACACACACACAGTGTGAAGTAAACGAGGATTTTTAATGAGGCCACAGCTCTGGTGACTTTACTAACGGTTTAATGACCCGCTATCAGAGATCAGCTGTCCTGTTCAGTTGCTGGACACACAAACACACTACAGCCGCTCTGATGTGAGGAGACCTGAGCTACAGAACACGCTACGCTCCATACAGGAGGAGAAAGACACGTCTACTGTTGATGAGGTCAAAGGTCATGTGTCACTGATCTAGAACAGTCTCACATTCACAAGCACGAGACTCAGATCAATCTAGAACAGATGAGAACTTCCGTCTTCACATACAGAAACTGATGAATCGTTATAATCATTTCATAAATCAGAATATGGCTATTTGGGCAGAATTTGACTATTTAAAATATAACAAATGGCTTGAATAAAGAGTTGTTCATTTTGCATTCTACATGAATGTATTTCACAGATGCTTTAATCCAAAGCGACTTGCATTGCATTGAAGGAATCAAACCCATGGCCTTGACGTCGGTAGCATCAAGATCAGGAATGATGAATGAGCTGAATGAGATTGAACGAGAGAGTCAGTAAAACTATTTGATCTTCCCTTCACCGCTGTGTATGTGTGTGTGTGTGTGAGTGTGAGTGTGAGTGTGTGTGTGTGTGTATGTGTGTGTGTGTGTGTGTCCTCTTGTTTCTCCTCCAATCAGCAGGACATACAGGTACCACATTGTAGGATGCAAACTAATGACATTTGCATACGCCCATTTCCTTATTTACCTAATGAACACCTTCTGGAATGACCTCAGAAATTATGACACACAAACACACACACGCGCGCGCAAACACACACACAAACACACAATCCACAAAAAAGAAAAACACCTCACATTAGTGTTACACTCAAGCAATGAATCATGGCATAGTTTATTAAGAATTTTCATTTACTTGCTTTTAAGTCATATCATCAAAATGTATTTATTTAAATTGCATAGAATCAGCATGAAAATAATTAAATTTATCAAATAAAAACCATGAAGTGTGTGTGTGTGTGTGTGTGTGTGTGTGTGTGCTGAGAATGTGACGTGTGTTTACAGCCGGAGCGGAGTTGAAATCGGTCTGCTGTATAAACATCCTGACAGACACAAACCTCCGTCTTGCTCTTCCTAAACAAAACGCAGACCTGGATTCATTCACAAACCTTCATGACATCACAGCCATGAGCTCAGTAACATACAACAGAACTGAGCACAGCCAATCAGAGCACAGCTCATTTACATACACAAATGTGTCATTTGATTGAGAAGGTTTTGATTGTAAAAAGTCAAATAAATCGGAATTATTACTGTTTAGGCTTCACTCTCATTACAAAATGCTACAAAATGAGCCATTTGGGTTCTGTTGAGGAGTCACTGCAGTGCTTGTAAAAATAGTGTGGGTTATAAATCAGCAGTGTGTGTTTCCTGTCTGAGAGGGAAGCAGTAATCTGTTCCTCATCCAGACGGCTCAGGTGAGTCACCTGAGCTCCTGCAGGAACAACAGAGACTCACTCCAGTCCACACGAGACACTCTGAGACATTCTCAGATGCACTAAGACAATCTGAGACACACTGAGAGACGCTGAGAAAATCTGAGACACTCAGACACTTTGAGACACACTGAGACGATCTGAGACACGCTGAGACACTCAGACACTCTGAGACACTCTGAGACACACTCAGACACACTGTGAAACTCTCAGACACTCAGACACTGTGAGACATGCTGAGACACTCTGAGACTATCTGAGACACACAGACACACTGTGAAACTCTGAGACACTCAGACACTGTGAGACACACTTAGACAATCTGAGACACGCTGAGAAACTGAGACACTCAGACACTGTGAGACACTCTGAGACACACCGAGACACACTGTGAAACTCTGAGACACTCAGACACTGTGAGACACACTTAGACAATCTGAGACACGCTGAGAAACTGAGACACTCAGACACTGTGAGACACTCTGAGACACACCGAGACACACTGTGAAACTCTGAGACACTCAGACACTGTGAGACACACTGAGACAGTCTGAGACACACCGAGACACGCTGAGAAACTGAGACACTCAGACACTGTGAGATACTCTGAGACACACCGAGACACACTGTGAAACTCTGAGACACTCAGACACTGTGAGACACACTTAGACAATCTGAGACACGCTGAGAAACTGAGACACTCAGACACTGTGAGACACTTTGAGACACACCGAGACACCCAGAGAAACATTGAGACACTCCAAGACACACTGAGAAAATCAGACACTGTGAGACACATTGAGACAATCTGAGACACGCCGAGAGACTCTGAGAAACTGAGACTCTCAGACACTGTGAGACACACTGAGACAATCTGAGACACGCCAAGAGACGCTGAGAAACTGAGACACTCAGACACTGTGAGACACTTTGAGACACACCGAGACACCCAGAGAAACATTGAGACACTCCAAGACACACTGAGAAAATCAGACACTCAAGACACTGTGAGACACACTGAGACAATCTGAGACACGCCGAGAGACTCTGAGAAACTGAGACACTCAGACACTGAGACATGATGAGACACACAGAGACATTCCGAGACACTCAGACACTGTGAGACACACTGAGACAATCTGAGACACACCGAGAGATGTGGAGAAACTGAGACATTCAGACACTGTGAGACATGATGAGACACTCTGAGACACACAGAGACATTCAGAGACACTCAGAAACTGAGACATGATAAGACATTGTGACGCTCTGAGACACTGAGACACACACTCAGACACTGAGAGACACACTGAGAAACTCTGAGACAATCTGAGACACACAAACATGCTGAGACACACTGAGAAACTGAGACACTTATACACTGTGAGACATGATCAGACACTGAGACACGCCGAGAAACACAGAGACATGCCGAGACACAGATTCAAACATCCTCAGAAGATCCAGAGCACAAGCACCTGTTCAGCATCCCATCAATCCTCACACTCGTACAGTTAAACACGGACACACAAACCCAGTTTAAGGCCCTCTTCCTTCTCACGAA